TTTGAGCTATGATTTTACAAAATAGAGTAGTATTAGATTTCCTGTTAGTCTCTTAAGAAATAGTTTCTGCCTTAATAGATAAATGTTGCTGTATTTATATAGATACTCAATCTGAGCTTTTGCAGAATGTAGTTGCTGTTCAGGCACATGAAAAGCAGTTACTGATGCTGCTTATGTAGAGACAAACACCTGAGATTTGTTTCCTTGGTTCAAAGACCTTAGGGTCATGGTTTCATTGGTTATTTCAGACAATTGGCCTAAGATAATTGTTAGTGTTTCTGTTTTATTTCCTAGTTTGCTGTATGGTGCCTGGGATCTTAAAAACCAGATGATGTCCCATTACCATTTATGGAGCATTTCTGATAAAAGATTCTATAACAAGATCATGATCCAAAGGAAAGAATGTTGAGAGAGTTGTATATAATTCTCCTGGAATCCAGGTTTCTGGCTTTCAGGGAGGTTGAAGCAACCTACACGGGATATTTTCCTTTGGGTGTTCTCTTGAACCTTGAGCTTTGAGGAAAAAACTGGTTCCTGATGATACTCAGAGTCAAATAACGGTCCAGATAAACTAGTAAGACTATTTTGCTCTGGGTATTGAGCTTTTTTTGAAGAATTCAGTCTGTTTTAGGAAACTAACTTAAAAGATCAGACAGAGTTATGTTTAGGGTAAATTAGTAATTAGTTTAAGCAGTCTTTAAGACAATGTCATATGAAATACCTGTGTAATGTTTGTAATCAAACTGTCACCCTCTTACGATGCAGAAAATTATGTATCTTAAAGAAACCAGATTCTCAGAGATCGACCTCATGGCTCAGACTCAGTTTTGTGTTTGGTTCCATTTCTACTTCTGAGAAAGTGACTCATGACTGTTAATAGGTAAACCAAGGAGGGGGCAGCTTGCCCTTGGGGAGAACACTTTGTATGTTTTAAACAGACTAACTGAAGACCTCCTACAGGAAAGGTCCATCCTGTATTATCTTGCTAATCATTCGTTCTCTAATGAAAACTAGTCACATGTAAATTTTTCTATATTTTCTGTTTCTCCTAGATAAACTTTGTGTGCTTCTTATGGATATATGTTTCTGTGTAGATATGTTTCTAATTTAGATGATTCCTTTCCCTTTCCAACTGATAGTGAATTTGTGTGGGCAATCTCTTGTTTAGATTCCTGCGGAATGCATAGACAATACACTTTGGAAACTTTAGGATTACTTTTAAGTATTCATAGTAATGATGCTAGTAAATATTGAAAAGGTAATGTTAAAATTGTAATATGAAAGTCAGAAAAAAACTCATTGGTCCAACACTCAGGGTATGGTTGGTGGCTTTAATTCCTACATATGGTATATCTGAGTTGGAGAAATCTTTAAGAAAATTTGTCAGTCACTATGGGACAAATAACAGATGAGACAGAAGCACAACAGTGATCTCTGATCTCATAAGGCAAGGTGACATGAGATAATAAAATAACCTTAGATTTTTTTTATTAGTCCAAGAAAGTGTAGTCTGTGCTGTAGACAAGATATGCATAGAATTAGACAGCAAGGTACTTGATTACACATTGTCATACCCTTACAAACACCACATCTATTTGGTTAGTTACCATCAGGAATAAGTACATGGGCTAGATCACTACTGCAAGGGATATTAATATTCTTATTCTACATCCTGATAGTATTAGGCATAATAAAATTTATCCTCTATTGTCTTACACACCTAAAAGGCAAAAGAAGGCCTCACGCTAAAATGTTGAGGTACATTGAGTCTGCCCACTCCGACAATGCCATTGATGAGAACATCGCTCTTACTTAATAACCTGGTGAAGAACCAGATGGTATCCAGTGGAAAATCAGCACCGTGAGTTTAAAGAGTCTGCAATGGCTGCCATCTAGGAGCTTGACTAAGTCCAGGTATTGATCATCGATGTGTTATCTCCAATCGCCGATCAAAAGGAGGGACTGATTTAGGAAATAATACTGGAGTTATTATTCCCTCTCCTTGAGCATACAGGATGTGACTCAGCAGAAGCTGAGCCCTCACAGGCTCACAAAGACACATCCTCTGGGCCCTGAGATAAGACAACAGATGGGACAATCTCAGAAATTACCTTAAGGAAGTTTTCACAAAAAGGCAATAAAACCTAAACCAAAGGACTTCTCACTTTTTGTCTTTTTCTATTAACATTTAGTGAATAGGAATTTGTTGGACCAATGAAGACCCTCCTGACTTTCATAACTGAAACCCATACCAATGATGGTTAAGAAAGATGATTCAAAATGTAAGATTATAATTTCTAGCCAATCAGTGAAAAAGTGGCACTTTCAATGATTCTACCCATTTTGTGATGTTGATATATACTGATGATTCTGTAACCTTCCTTGGACTCGGGCAGACATGGCTCTGGCAGCATGCTTGTCCACTTCCCACTTTTGTCCTTTTGAATATATGCCAAATAAAACTTTCTTTTTACTTTAAAAAAAAAAAAAGAGAGAGACAGAAACTCTGTACAAAAGTTAACTCCCTAATAATTAAAAAAAGCAGTTTTTTTGCTCTTCTTTTTGCACTTCCTTTTTAAAAGTCATTAAGCTAGGGGAAACTTAGTAGATAGAAATTATATAAGCAGTTGCTGTCGAGTCGATTCCAATTCATGGAGACCCCATGTGTGTCAGAGTAGAACTGTGCTCCATAGAATTTTCAGTGGCTGATTTTTTGGAAGTAGCTCGCCAGACCTTTCCACTTCTGGGTGAACTCAAACACCCAACCTTTCCGTTAGCAGCTGAGCATGTTACCTGCATCACCCAGGGACTCCAGATAGAAACTATAAGACAATCCAAATCTTTGTGTTTAACCTCCATGGCTATTCACTGGGGATATGAGTCAATAAAGAAAAGAGGAGCAGCCTGGATGTCTCTCAGCACCTATATACATTTCAGCATCTACAGTATACTCAAATTTCAGTAAAATTAACATTTCTTTGAAATTTATTATATTTGTAAGGAAAAAGGAAATAGTTAAATCCCATTTTGATTAATGGAAAAAAATCCCCTTGGTATATTGACCAAGCTACTACCAAACCAGTTTGCATAAAAATCAAAGAGAAGGATAATATTAGATTTATATTCAGAAGCATTAAGGAGCTGTAAGCACAAGAAGAGAATAGCGAATGCATTTTCTTTTCAAGTATCCATGGAACATATATGAAAATTGACAATCTATTAGACCAAAAAGAAAGTATCAGTTTCAAAAGATAGAAATAACGCAGACGTTTTCTGGTTTACAATTCAATAAAGCTAGAAACTAATTTGTTGTTGTTCGGTACTATTGAGCTATCTCTGACTCATAGTGACCCATGAGACAGAGTAGAACTTCCTCATAGGGTTTTCTAGGCTGTAATATTTACAGAAGCTTATTGCCAGGTCTTTCTCCCACAGAGCTGCTGGGTGGATTTGAACTTCCAACCTTTTGGTTAGCAGCCAAATGCTTAATCATTTGTGGCACCAGGGCTCCTTAGTACCAAATCAGAAAAGTCTCCTTATCCTGGAAATTAAAAAACAAAACAAAAAACTGTCTTAAATATTCTTTAGTCAAAGGGGACATGCAAGCCAAAGTGGGATCTTAGGAGATGGAATTGAAGCGTAAGGGCAGTCGCCAGCCCCTATGGCATCATTGGGTGAATTAGAAAAGGTGTTCCTTCTTCATGTAAAAACAATCAACACTGCTGCACCTGTGGATAGTCAGTGAGACTACGGCTCCAGGACCAGCTGGCTGAAAGATGAGCATGAGGCTCAGGGAAATGAAAGCCAAAGTCAGTTGATGGCTATGGAAGAAAAACAGATAACTTTCTTTCCTCTTAGGGGAAAAAAACTATTAGAGTATGAATTTTCCCTTAAGATTGGAAGCAAACTTCTAGTTAGTTAAACGCTTGCTAGCAAGATTTTTCAAGGCCAAGGAAAAGTCTCAACATGGAGTGTTTTCCTTGATTGAACTGAATGTTTTTAAGATCCTGACTCCTAAGGATGAAAATACACGAGGTTTAATATGCTTCAGTTACTTTTCTATAACCCATTATATTATTTAGCTCTTTCTAACACTTTAGAGAAATTACGTATGTCATTTTAACAAGTTACTGTGAAAACAAATGATTAAAGTTTTGTATCACCTGATGTAAATGATTTAGGAGTAAGTTTACTCAGCCTGTCTTAAAGGATGCCTGTATTCAAAGCCAAGAGAAGTCCTAGTTTTTAATTATGTTGTTAAAGAATCATTCGGATAGTCTCTTCTTATTGCATTAGAGTATACTGTAATGGAGTTATTCCTCACATTTCCCCCTAAAATTACAAACAAATGCTGTAATTTTTAATTCTGTTTTGTTTGGATAATACTCTTTTACAGTAACATCTCTCTTAGAATGGGAGCAACAAGGTCTCCAGGTTGCTCGGGCTATGCACTTAGTGGTAGAAAAACAGGTGCCGCGGTCAAGGTTGGGAATGTGGGTAGTGGGGGCAAGGTAGGGGAGTCACTGAATACAGGTAGAATGAGATGAGTAGAAACCTAGAAAAATAAGGTGGGGAAGGACTATCATAGAGGTCCTTCTGGGGTGGGAGGTAGGGATAGCTCAAGGTTGATTTTGAAGTATGAGTCTCTGGGCAGGAGTTTAAGAGGCTTCCATTGTGACACAAGAAGAGAGAAGCTAGGGATAGGCTACGCTGTTGCAGTGACAGAATAAAGAGCTGGTTGCTAGGGCCACAGAGTAAACACCAGAAGCCTTGTGGAGGAGATGGAGCCACAGCTCCTGGTCCCCTTTCCCACCCTCCTTCACCCCAGGCTGTCTGAGATGTCATCTTCTACCTAAATATCATCTCTCCAGTTCCAGGTCTTCACTTTGGTCTCTAGCTTCTGCTTGGTTCCACATTCTCTACACATTTTCACGGAGGACCTACACCTTTCCTTCCTGGAATCTCTTAAGGTTTTCTGCTTTCCTCTTGCCCTGATTGCCAGCCCTGCTAATTCAGCTGAGATGGAAGCACCTACCCTCTCTGAAACCTTTAGGCTTGCTCTCGATCTTCATCAAGAGTCTTGGGACCCTAGGATGATCATTGCCTTGTTTGAAATTGGATCAGTATCCCTTTTCTTCTGGAGTTCTCTCCTTTCCCTAAGGAAGAATAGCAATCAAATTTCTGAACAACTGACTACACAAAAGTTTGAAGATGCCTTAAACAAAATTGAAGGTATCCTTAAAAATATTACAGGTTTCGAAAAAACCACAGATGCAAAACTATCTTTTGAGGACACCAATGTTTCGGATGATGTGTCAGAACTGAAAGAAAAAATCAGACAACTTGACAAAATAAATAAAACACTATTTGAAAATCTGCTTGCTAGTTTAGACCCAGAGAAATTCCAGAATGCAAAGAAACAGGAAAAGATACTGGAAAACCACAACGGCAAGGACACGGTACATTTTGCAAGGGATCTGGTAAATCATTCAGAAGAAAAAAGAGCCCTTAATGAAACTCAGCTAAGCCAAGAAAAAGCAAAATACGGATTACTTCATGCTCGAGAAGAAAATATCAAACTTAGGAACAACATGGAGCAGTTACTACAAAAAGCAGAACACTGGAGTAGACAACATACTGAGCTCAGCGGACTAATAAAATTGTATCAGAAATCTCAGCATGACATAAAAGAACTTCTTGAAAATAATAGAGTCCATTTCCAAACCCAACCAAATAACAAGGTGTCAGCTAATCATGAGATGGAGGAACAAGTGAGGAAATTGGAACATGACACTTACTCTTTGCATTTGACTGCAGCTTTATTGGAGAATGAGTGCCAAATCTTACAGCAGAGAGTAGGGATTCTCAACGAACTCCATCATGAGAAAGAGAGAGCTCTGACAGACGATGAACAGGGCAAGAAAGAACAGAAACCATCAGAAGCAGGGAAAGTAGGAACTCATAAGCAGAAAATGAAAGAAATGGAGGGTACATTTCAGAAAAGAGACAACTTTTATATAAGGCTGGATGTTTGTCGTAATAAGAAAGCTTGCAATAACTGGTTCAATTCTCGTATTGCAAGAAGAGGTCTTGTGGGAAAAAAGAGGTCAGCCAGCAGACCAAGATAGAAAGTACCAAAAGTAAAAGAAAAGGCAATTCTTCGAAAAGCTGTATATATCCAACTCCAGGCATGATCAATCATCAAACCTAGGATAGAACCGGTGGATTAACCAAGAAAGAGCTATAGAACAGGACGATTAACACACTATTCGTTACTTCAATAGTTATGTAAGTTTGGTCTTTAATGATCATTAGTGCCAACATTAAATTCATAACTTACTACCTTCACAATCTGCTTGGTTTTTATAGTTGATAGAGATCCTATAACACTTTGATTAGGAGTTAGAATTTATCAGGTGGAATTAAGTAAAGATTTAAATAAAAATCAGGATGAACCAAAGAAATTATTTTTTCTTTATTAATCATTAGCTGGGGAGAAATTTCTGGAAAAAGAAAGTATATAAGGTTTTTTTTAAAAAAAAATAATATTTTATTGTATTTTTGGTGGAAGTATACACAGCAAAACAGGTTCCCATTCAATAATTTCTACACATGTTGTTCAGTGACATTGGTTACTTTCTTCATATTGTATCAACATTCCCATTATTTCCTCTCTATTCCATACTCATTACCCTAGTCTCCCATCCCCTCAACCTTCTCATCTATGCTTTAGAGTATTAATCGTTTGGTCTCATATAGATGATTTTCTAAAAGAATGCAGTACTGAAGAGTGATATTCATTACTTTATGAACTAACCTGCTATTTAACTACAAGATAACTTGAGGGAATAGTTTTGGGTCCAGGCTTAAAAAATATTTCAGGGTAATAATCTCGAGGATTCCTTCTGTCTCCGTGAGTCTAGTAAGTCTGGATTTTTTGAGAATTTTAAGTTCTGTTCCACATTTTTCTCCCTTTCTGTCAGGACCTGTCTATTGTGCTCCTGATCAGAGCAGTCAGTAGTGGTAACCAGCTACCATCTGGTTCTAGTCTCAGGGCTAGAACCAGAGGTTGTGGTTCATGTAGACAATTAGTCCTGTGGACTGGTTCCTTCTCTGAATCTTGGGTTTCCTTCTTTCTCTTTTGCTCTAGATGAGTAGAGACCAATAGTTTTATCTTAGATGGCTGCTCGAGAAAAGCTTTTAAGACCCCAGACATTACTCACCAGACTAGGATGTAGAATATAAAATTTATGGACTATATTATGCCAATTGACTGAGCTGTCCCATGAGACTATGACCCTAAATCCCCAAATCAAGAAAACTAATCTCATGAGGAGATTGGTTAGATCTAAAAAGTATCAGTTTCTGTGATCCTTATTTGTTTCTTTATAGATATACATATACATGCACACATACACATATATACATGTATATGCATACATACATATACATATATATGTATTTTGGTTGTTGTTGCAAAGTTATATACAACATAGCATTTACCAAGACATCTTTTTGTTTGTTTATTTTGATAACCTAGTGGTATCAGTTACCTTTGTTAAGCTGTGCACGCCTCTCCCACATTCAGTGCTACCTTTTCCATCACCATAAATAAAAAGTGACTACTGTCTAGCAAGTAGAATGCCCCTCTTATGCCCCTTCACCCCTGGTAACCACCAATGGACATTGGTCGCTGTATATACTGTATTTTTATGCAAATAATGTACACCTTCTATGTTTGTTTGCCAACTGCGCCCTCCCTCGTGAGTTATTTTCGTAAGAGTGCTATGCTAATTTTTTCTACAGCAACATGTAAAAAAAAAATTGGCATAGCAGTACTTACCAAAATACCTAGCGGGAGGTAGCGGTCAACAAATGAATGTAGAAGGCGCACATTATTCGCGTAAAAATACAGTATAGCTGTTCTTGCCATTTTATAAAAGTGAGATGATACTCTATTTGTCCTTTTGTGATTGACTTATTTCACTTGGCATGATGTCCTCTAGGTTCATCCATGTTGCAAGATGCTTTGGGAACTTATCTTTCTTTATGGTTGCATAGTATTTCATTGTATGTATGTACCACATTTTGTTTATCCATTCATCCACTGATGGGCACTTAGGTTGTTTCCATCTTTTGGCAATTGTGAATCGTGCTGCAATGAATACAAAGTTTTAATTTCCCCTTTAAAGCCCACTTGCTACTAACTGTGTGGTTTTCTCCCTTTTATCCACTGAAGCATGAGAAGTAGTGGAGTTAAAAAAAAAAATATTGTTGACCAATCACCCCTAAACAAATAGCTTTCCTCTTCTCAAAAATTTCCTCACCCCCACTTCTTCTTTTCCTAATGTTCCTCCCGTGCTCCTCAGTTAGTGAACTGTGGATGTGCTGGACAGCAGAGGCCCTTGGGAAAGGATTCTTTACCCAGCAAAAATATCCTTCAGGAATGAAGGTGAAATAAGACATTGTTAGATGGAGGAAAACTAAGAATTTTTCACTGTCTGTAGCGGGGAAGCCTGTTTTGTCACATTTTGGTCACATCCTCATTTTGTTTACATTGAAGAAAATAAGTGATCGCTTTAGCGTCGAACTTTGTCCTCCTCTCTTCTCAACCAGGAATTTCACAAAGGAGGAACTAAATGAATGAGTAAAATGAGAACGTTGCTGAGCCAAACACTTTTTTTGTATTTTAGCCTGTTCATATGTATTACTGGAACAAATTCTGGCAGTGCCAGATTAACGGTCAATGTTAAAAGGCTAACTCTCCAGTTCCAAAACTGAGAGCCACAGCAAACTCACAGGGAACTGAGGGATATTTTTAAATTTTTGAGGGAAACACAGCAGTACATGACATCTGCCACACACTGTACAAACTAACTCGAGGTAGTTCCAAGTTTCATTTGATTGCATGTCACACCATATCCAGAGAGTGGAATTTTCCATTGGCAAGAAGTCAGTCACATGGCCACACCTATCTGGAAGAGACCGGGG